GCTGGGAGCCACGGCGAAGCAAACGAATCTGTTGGTCGTTCCCAACTTCCCACCAGCCTGTGTGGCTTCTGAAACAATAACTCCTTATGAAATATCATAAATATAGATTTAAATACAGTAGAGCGAGAATGCGATTTGGCTGCTTTTTTATGGCTTCAATTATTGTCTAATTTTATGTGAGGGGCTCCACTGGCCGCACTCGCACGCGGGACCCGCGCCTTGCTGATGGCGTGATTAATTGTGATATAAAATAGTCCGCTTAAGAAGTGTGTGTCTGGTGGTGGCGGTGGGAGGGGAGGAGAGTACAGAGGCAAGGCCAGATTTGATCTTTTAATCTTCGTTGGCCACAATTAAAACAAACCCGATCGTGGAGCGCCGCGATCCCTTTGCATAAAAACATATGGCTTTTGCTATAAAAATTATGACTGCAAAACACCGGGCCATTAATAGCGTGCGGAGTGATTTACGCGTTATTGTTCTGCCGGGCGGGCACGTGACGCGCGCGGCCAATGGGGGCGCGGGCGCCGGCAACTTATTAGGTGACTGTACTTCCCCCCCCCCTGGTGCCACCAAGTTGTTACATGAAATCTGCAGTTTCATAATTTCCGCGGGTCGGGCCGACCGGCCAGGCGCGGGGCACAGCGATGGCCACCACCGGGGCCCTGGGCAACTACTACGTGGACTCGTTCCTGCTGGGCGCCGACGCTGCGGACGAGCTGGGCGCGGGCCGCTACGCGCCCGGGGCCCTGGGTCAGCCTCCCCGGCAGGCCACCGCGCTGGCGGAGCACCCCGACTTCAGTCCGTGCAGCTTCCAGTCCAAGGCGGCGGTGTTCGGCGCCTCGTGGAACCCGGTGCACGCGGCGGGCGCCAACGCGGTGCCCGCTGCAGTGTATCACCACCACCACCACCACCCCTACGTGCACCCCCAGGCGCCCGTGGCGGCGGCGGCGCCGGACGGCAGGTACATGCGCTCCTGGCTGGAGCCCACGCCCGGCGCGCTCTCCTTCGCGGGCTTGCCCTCCAGCCGGCCTTATGGCATTAAACCTGAACCACTGTCCGCCAGAAGGGGTGACTGTCCCACGCTTGACACTCACACTTTGTCCCTGACTGACTATGCTTGTGGTTCTCCTCCAGTTGATAGAGAAAAACAGCCCAGTGAAGGCGCCTTCTCCGAAAACAATGCTGAGAATGAGAGCGGCGGAGACAAGCCCCCCATCGATCCCAGTAAGTGTCTCCTCCCTTCAGGCCGGCCGCCGCCTCCACGCCGGCCACCAGGATCTGCCAGCCCTTCAGCTTTCTCTTGAGCCTGTCTTCGCCTGCGCTGGGAGCCTCTTGAGCAGGGGCCGCGAACCAGAAGTTGCTGTTTAGGATGCCTCGGATGGGGCCCCAAGTCCAGGGAGCAATGACAAGCTGGTCGCCGGGTTTCGGGGGGAGGGGAGGCGGCTGCCGCCGAGAGAAAGAGAGAGAGAGAGAGAGAGAGAGAAAGAGAGAGAGA